GGAGGGTAGAGAGAATAGTGCAACAATGAATGAATGGAAACCCAAAATCTCTGTAAATGTTTATGAAAATTAATAAAATATAATTATAGGAAAAAAAAAGAGCTTTGTTAACACTGAGCTAAAGCTGAGAGGTTGAAGATCAAAGAGTTTATAAGCTGTCCTGAGGAACTTTAACCTGTTAAATTCCCTAATAAATCCTATCATTCTGAGGATGGTTTTCATAATTGTGTGCAGCCACTAACAGATTAGTGAACTCAGTGCAGAAGGGCATTTAATATTGACAAATGATGACCATATCGGACCTCTTAGAAATTAGATTTGTCATGTTCTTGACTGGGACCATCCACCCTGTGAAGTTAGTAGAGGTCAGACCAAAGAAGAACTCTTTATAGTTGGTATAAGGAAGCAGGATCCATTGCAGTAACTCCAGACTAAAGGATGTGTGTAATTTTGTATTAAGGTGCTTGGGAAGTACAGTTCAGATGGTTACTTTTATTGCTACACAAAGGAGGGAAGAAAAGCCACTTCTATCACCTTGCACATAATTTGTGTTAACAGTTTGTTTTATTCCATGCACTCCAGTTGAGTTGATTCTGATTTATCAGGTTTCTGAGGCTGTAAGTCATTATGAAAGAAGACTGCCCATCTTTCTCACATGAGTGGCTAATGGATTAAAAACACAATGGATTAAAAACACTAACCTTTGGGTTAGATACTTCTAAGGGGAAAGTTAAAATCATTCAGGTATGAAGGTCAATCACTAGAAAACCAAGGGGTGAACTGTGATGTAGTGAGTTTATTGTTCAAAATGGCTTTCCTAGACCACTGCCTTTGACTTGTGCCACATGTCTGAGCGTTATAAGGCCATTGTGCCAAGTACGACTCATAGGGAACCTGTGAACAACAGATCTGAACCTATCCTCATCAACTCTGACACACTTGAGCCCACTGCTTCAGTCACTCTGTCAATCCATCTCAATAAAGGTCTTCCTCAACTTGCACTGACCCTCCACATTTCCTAGTAACATGCCCAAAGAATGTGAGAAGCAGCTTTGCCATCCTTGCCTCCAAGGAACAGTATGGCTGCACTTTTCCCCAAGATCTATCTGTTTGTTCTTTTGTCAGTCAATGGGATATTCAGCACTCTTCTCCAACTCAAAGGCATCCATCTCATAGATGATTCTGTCATCCTTATTCTGTCCAGCTCTACGACAAACAGCAAGGGACTGAAAAGATCATAACCTGAATTAGGTGCACCTCAGTACCACAAACTGACATCACTGCTTCTCAGTACTTTGGAGTGGTCTCTGACAAAGACTTGCCCGGTGTTATACATTTCTTGTCTGCTAGTAGCAAGGGATGTGTATCCAGTAAGATGAAACTGTTGACCATTTTAATCTTTCTCCATCTATTATGATTTTATCATGGTGAGGATTTTTACCTTCTTGATATTGAGATGCAATCTGTATTCAAGACTTTGATCAAGTCTTTGATCTTCTGCAGCAAGCATTTCAAGTCCTCCTCACTTCCAACAAGCAAAGTGTGTCATCTGCATGACACAAGTTGTTGAGTCTTCCTCAAAGATTTGTTCAGCATAGATTAACAGGTATGGAGAAAGGATACAACCCTGACACCTTTCATGGTTTTAAACCACACAGTGTTTTTACTCTTCTGTTGCTTGCACACAGCTTCTTGGTCAAGGGGAGCTCTGGTGGCCTAGTGGCAAGGAGCTGCAACTACAATCCCAGAGGCTCATGGTTCGAATCCACCAGATGCTCTGCCGGGGAAGGAGGGACAATCTCCTCCTGTACCAGTCAGATCTGATTTGACGGTACTCGCACACAAAAATTTAAAAAAAAAAAACCAAAACAACAACAGCTTCTTGGTCTAGGTCTAGGTTTTACAGGAACATAATTAAGTGTCCTGAGATACCCATTCTCCGCAATCTTAAGATCCACACATTCAAATGCTTTTGCATATTTGACAATCTCTTGGTATACTCTGCTTTCAGCCAGGATCCATCTAACATCAGCTCTGATATCCCTGGTGCCATGGCCTCTTCCAAACCCAGCTTGAACTTCTGACAATTTTGTATCAATGTACCATTCTAACCATTTTTTAATAACCTTCATCAATATTTTGCTTGCATATGATGTTAATGATACTGTTTGATAATTTCCACATTCCACCTGGTTCAGCAAAAGAAACAGAGCAAAGAAGCAGTAAAGAATGTATTTCAAAGCCAAGGATTCCTACACCAGTCAGACAAAGACTTAGAAGAAAGCAGCAAGAAAGGAGAACCTGAGACAGCAAATCTAGGACTGCCAGTCAAAGAAGCCAAGGCCAGCAGCCTCTGCATACACATGGAAACCTTGACGGGAGGTGGTGTGGGTGGGCTGGGTAGTGATGAGATGCCATAATTGGCAGGACAAAGAAAGCTTTGTAACACTGAGCTGAGCTGAGAAACTGAAGGTCAAAAAGCAACCAGGCTTAGTAAGCTGTTCTGACTATCCTGTTTCCAACCTGAATTGTAACCTATTAACTTCCCTTGTTGTTGCTGTTAAGTGCCATGGAGTCATAGGCGACTCATAGCAACCCTTTCATCCTTTCTCCAGGTTCACAGGGTTTCCGAAGGCAAGCTATTACAGAAGTGGATGCCACTCCTGCTTTGAAGCTTGTTTTAATTGAGGAGCTCCACCAAACACTGTCCACCATGGGTAACCATTATTATATTTGACACATCGTAATGGTTAACTCCCCTAGTAGCTCTATAATTATGGGGAAGGGGGATGGGGAGGATGTTGGAGAAATAAACGTCAGTGCAGAAAATTCCCTGGGTTATTTCACATTAGATTTTTGGTAAGGCTTTCAATCTAAACTGTACCAAAACTTTAAAACTTAAAATTAAAACAGAAAGATCTAGTTGTAGACAAGAATTTCCTGGTTTACTCTAAGTTAGAACGGTCCCCTGAGGTGTAGTGCATATGGAAGTGTGCTGCTAACCTCGAGGCCCCTCCTTTGCCAGTCTGAATGCTCCAGTGGCTCTGTGGGTGAAAGATGGACACTGTCTGTTCCACCCCCCCCCCCCAAGTCCATTCAGAACTGACAGCAATGAGTGTAATTGAAGAAATTATTGAACAGTTTTACATAATTAAATACTTTGATTCATTCCTTTTCAACTCCAATTTTTTAAATTACTTAGTCACTTAAAAGCAAGAGTAAAATTCCTCTCCTCATCAATAATAAGTCAAGTCTTCACTTAGAATCTCAGCCAGGATAGAATCTCTACTTCGATTATCATTTGCCAGAGCATGTTTAACACTTTTAAACTAGTCTGGAGTAGTTTTAAAGTATTTCTTATTCTACAGGAACATTATGATAGAATTGTCATATGAGAATTTGTAAAAACAAAAGAAAGTTTTAAATGACTTAGAATATCCCATTAAGTATGATTGTGTAAGGCAATAAGAGTATTTCACAACTCGTCATTTTCTGTTAATTTTTGCGCCATTCTGTATTCATAAAAAAAAACAACACCATATCTTTTCCTCTGACAAACTGTACATATACAAATAAATTTCCAATTACACATGAAACTAAGTTTGTAAAGGGGATCCATGTTTCATGACACTTACAAAAAACACCAGAAAGGTACTAGCTTTTATCTTCACACAAACAGTGCCAGGTTAGGGCAATGGTGATGGGACAGGACAAACAAGGTCAGCTACTATGAACACTCAGCAGCAGTCTCTTCATCTTGAGCATCTCAACAAGGATGCACCGATCAGTTGCCGCAGAAAAGAGTTCAGGGATACCACTGTTCAGTCTTCCTTTTGTTTCTCTTGATGAGTCCACAAAAAAATTCTTAAATACTATCCAGAGAGGCCAGGAATGCTCAGCTTCAACTTTTATCGGCCCCTTCCACCACCCCTTGACGCTCCTCGCCTTGGTGGGCCAGAGTTCATGTTACTTCCTCTACCCCAGGTATTGCCACTCCTGCCCCCTCTAGAAGGGGCACCACTACCTGGAGGACCCCCAAAAGGTTCATCTCGGTGGTACCCATCACGATGATCTCCATCCAAGGAGCTGGGGCGCCCAGATTTGGGCAGTCTCTGGGAAGTTCCTGGACCCCCTCGACCTGAAATGAAAAATTTATTCCACAGGTGACTCTTCCTGGTAATAGACATTGCTGATCAATACTTCAAAGTATAAATAATGACTTTGTGGTGAAAATTGGACATTCTAGATCTTTCCTTCAAAAGTTCTGATGTACATTAGCAATGACATTCAAAGCACTGAAAAGTATGCCTGAGAACCCAAACTGACTATAGGTGAACCTTCATCATCCACTGTCTACTAGCTCTCAAGATGGCTTTGGTCAGCTCCAAACAAGCCATGGCCCCAAGACTATGACAGATGAAAAGGAAAGGAAGTCAAAGTGAAAATGGGAAGTCATTTCTGGGATTCCCTCACCATACCTCTGCTCTCAGGGAGATTTTTTTGAAGGGCTTTGGAAAATGCTGACTTGACTTTGGTATCCAACTGCCAGACAAACCAGTTGCTATCTCACTGCCTGGTGACCTCATATATACATCATAGTGGAACCATGCTTTGCAGGGTCTTCCTTCTAAAGTATCTCTTGGTAGAACAAACACTCCAGCATTCTGGTCAGCAGCAAAGTACATGAAATATCTGTACTGCATAGGAACTCTCTGGAAAGAATTGTTGTTGTTATGTGCCGTTGAGTTGTTTGCAACTCATAGCGACCCTATGTACAACAGGCCTAAACCGTGCTCTATCCTGTGCCAATCTCATTGCCTCTGACACACCCATCCTGATTACCCCAGTCACTGAATCAATCCACCTCATAGAGGGTCTTCCCCTCCTGCGCCGTCCCTCCACTCTACCCAGCATGATGTCCCTCTCTAAAGACCTGTCTCTCCTTACAACATGTCCAAAGTATGTCTCTAAAATGTTAATTACAATCAAGATCAGCATTTACAGGACCAATACAGGGTCCCTCAGTTTCTTTTTAAAATAGCTATGTGAATTATTTCCAGAAAAATAAGAGCATAAAAAGAAAAACATTGAGTTTTGGTATTATTTCTCCTAGAGATAACTTTGTATCAGGTAAGAACAAACAAAAATACTAAGATTTTGTTTTCACTTTTCTGTCCTGAAATGGAAGAATTCTGCCCTACCTGATGAGAAACTCTCAGAAGAATTTATTTAAGGGAATTTGAATCCAGTTGTGATGAAGAAGTTAGAAATAATAGCAAAAACATCATCTGGCTTCTCAAGAAGCATCATTTAAAAAAAAAAGAAGCATCACTTAGGCCCACAGAGGGTTCTGAGGTAACAAAATTGCGAGCCCATCACTGCACATTATGGTATGTCCTTGGCCATTAGCATAAGTGGTCCCAGTAGTTTTTTGAGTATTCATGAAAGTCCAAGATTATACTGACCAGCAACAAAATGCACTCTAGGCAAGGAAATCTATCGCTTAATACATTGGATTTCTGAGAGTTTCACTCTAAAGAACCAAAAGCAAAAATGTTCTAATGATAAGACTTCAAGGACAAGTAGTTAACTAGAGGTTGGAGTAAAAGGTTAGTCTTGCTAACAGTCTCTAAACCACATTATATAACTTGCCCAGGCTAACCTACAAATGAGAATTTGCTGGGTACTGGTTCTGTCTAAAGGTCAGTGCCACCTATAAAATAAAGACCTCAAGTTTTAAGTTGTAGAAATAATCTGCTACACCCAGGGTACAGTCCTCTAGATCATATTCCCTGGGGCTTTTGCAACAGTTGGACCTCAATGTTCCTTCTGGGCAAAACTAAAAAACCATATTAAATCTAGGAATCTTCCTTCCCTTCCACAAGGATGGATGTCTCAAGGGTTTCACAGGGCATCCACTTGTGAAGGGCAACAGGAATTTCACTAGAAGTAAGTAAGTGAAGCAGTGAATGAAAAAATGGTTCCTGGAATCAAGGAGAGGAAACTTGTGCAGGGACTACGCTGTGGGTCCATGTGAGAGCACTTCAACTGGTTGTACTACAGGCATAAACAATACAGCAACTGCCACATCTGGAGATACGTCCTCCTTCACAGTCCATGCCTAAGATGACACAATGAAGAAAGGACCTTAGTCACTCATTAGAAAAGAGATGGAACAGGCTTTCACTGGGTGAGATTGGTCTGGAGACAAGGCCTTCTGTAGCAGGACTCCAGCAAACACAACACCTGGACCTATAACCACTAGTGTCTTACCTTTGCCACCTCTATCCTCTGAAGGCCCCCCAGGGGCTTCCATTTCTCTGTGCTCAGAAGCGCCTGGCCCATCACGCCAGGGGCGCTTTCGGGGAGGCAGCGATGCCATATCCATGCCTTGAAGAGAAGATGATCGTTCTCTACTTGCTGGTGAGTGACTATCGTGAGGCGGGTGATCAGGGCGGGGCCCATCACGGAAATGTTCATGACCAGGGCCTGAAAAAAGAACCAAGGATCCATGAGGCTGAGGCCCTGACAACCCCATTATAGAGCCAGAGTACCATTTCTATATGTGAGCAGGTGGAAATGAGGCTACACAGAATAAGCAGGACTTTTGAATGAACATTCACTCCCTGAGGACAAAGATGCCGATCCCCACTTATACCCTCGGGTCCGGAGGTTCACAATCACATCATGAATAGAAAAAGGTTCAGAATTAGAAATTAACCAAATCAGATGCTGTAACCTCTTGTGTATCAGAGCAGAACAGTGCCCACAGAGATTACAATGAGTCTAGGGCAGAAACACGTAGACTGTGGAGTGCAGGTTTTTCTTCCATACAAATTAACCCATTTTATAATGTAAGAGTAGGCAAGTAACACCACAACAAGATAAAGGTAAATAATCCAATGGAAAAATGGGCACAGGCACTTCACTGAAGATGACATTCAAATGGCTAACAAGCATAGGAAGAAATGTTCAAAATCCCTAACTCTGTGAAGAGATGCAAATTAAAACAACTATAAGATATCATCTCATCCCAATCAAAATAGCAAAATTTAACAGAACAGCAAGCAACAAATGCTGGCAAGGTTGTGGAGAAACTGGAACCCTTATTCACTGTTGGTGGGAGTGTAAAATGGTGCAACCACTGTGGAAGGCGGTATGGCACTTTCTCAAAAAGTTGCAAATAGAGATACCATTTGATCCAACAATTCCACTAATGGGAATATACGCCAAAGAGACCATAATTGCCACCCAAGCAGATATAGGCACACCCATGTTTATTGCAGCTTTGTTCACAATAGCAAGGAGTTGGAAACAACCTAAGTGCCCATCAACAAACGAATGGATAAAGAAGCTGTGGTATATTCACACAATGGAATACTATGCTGCATTGAAAAAAAAGAAACTCATGCAATGTTATTCAAAATGGTTGACTCTGGAGAACATTATGCTGAGTGAAGTATCACAGTCACAAAAGGACAAATATTGCATGGTGCCACTATTGTAAAAGAGGACTGACCTTGGGGTTGGGGAAAGACTGAGAAAGATGGGTTCAATAATGTATACTGCACTGAAACAGATGAGGGAGAAAACTGTTTAAAAGGGATGTGTGATTAGGTATTTTTGTCATGACAGGAGTCTAGAGCGATGGCTAAATGGTGGAGTGGACCTGGGGGAGGGTCTGTGAAACAAAGAATTTTTCTTTTACTTTTTCCAAGAGTGTAGTGTTGGGGGGGCAGGAGGCTTGGGAGGGGAGAAATGTTCAACAGTGAATGGATGGAAATCCAAAGCCTCTGTAAAATTTTACTGAAATTGATAATAAATTTAAATTAAAAAAAAAAAGAGTAGGCAAGTAAGGTGAAGAGTTCAGAGAACTGGTTCTCCATTTCATTTTCAGGCTAGATTTGCACTTTTAAAAAGGATTTCATTTATAAAAGCTGTTATCTATTAATATTTACCACATTAGCAATTAAAGCAGAGAAAAATATTAATTCTTTTAACAGCATTTTTCCAAACAAAACCAATTTGGTGAAAATCATGGAATTGCTTTATATTAGACAAATCTCTTTAAAGCTGGACTCTTTTTATCTGCTTATTTTTGCATCTAATTTATTGGCAGTAAAATGCTTTGGATGTCTAAAAATCCAGCCTCCTATGGAGAGAAGCTGGACGGGAAAATTATGTGAAGCCCTGAAAAGTCTCATCTGTTCTTCCTTACCTGGCTCTCTATTTCCGTCCCAGGAGTCTGGCTTCCGCCCTCCTTCAAAGCGCGGGAATTCATCAGGAGTAGGAAGTAAGCCCTTTCTTCCTCCTCGTGGTGCACCCCGACCTCGACCTCTGAGATCTCGTCCACGAGCTGCTTCATCAGAAGCATCAAAATTCTCTTCAGGACCGAAGTCTTCAGGACCAGGAAATCCATCTCTCCCTCTAGGAGGTGCACGGCCCTCAAGTCTAGGAGGAGCTCCTCTTCTGAAACTGTAATGAAATTTAAAACAAAGTATACAAGTTCATGACATGTTCACGTTTCAAGAGTTTTAACAATATGAGAAAGTATAATGTTAAATGGGAGGAAAAGCAAATGGACACTTTAAAATATATAAATTTTATATTCCCCATATTAAAAGGACGTAGGAAAAAATACAGCAGAATGTAGTATCTTAATTTTCACTAGGTTTTAAAGAACATTTTCTAAGTGCTATGCCAAGTTGTTGTTAAGTGCCGTCGAGTTGCTTGCGACTCATAGCGACCCTATGTAGAACAGCCCCAAACTCTGTTCTGTCTGTGCCAATCTCATTGTCATCCCGATTACCACAGTCACGGAATCAATCCATCTTCTAGAGGGCCTTCCCTTTCTGCGCCTGCCCTGCACCCTCCCAAGCATGATGTCCTTCTCCAAGGACTGGTCTCTCCTTACAACATGACCAAAAGTATGTCAGAAGAAGCCTCAGAATCCTTGCCTCCAAGGAAAAGCCTGGTTTAACGCTCTCCAAGACGAATCTGTTCGTTTTCTTAGCAGTTCATGGTACCCTCAAAACTCTTCTCCAACACCAAAGCTTAAAGGCATCAATTCTCCTTCTATCCTCCCTAGTCACTGTCCAACTCTGACGCGTAACGTGACTGCAAAGACCATGGCCTATATCAGACGCACCTTAGTCTGCAGAGAGACAACACTGCTCTTTAGTACTTTAGAGAGGTCTCTAAAGCAGACTTTCCCATTGCAATACATCTTTTAATTTCCTGGCTGCTGGTGCCAAGAGTGTTGATTGTAGAGCCAAGCAGACTAAAGCTGTGAACAATCTCAGTCTCTTCACCATCCATCCTGATGCTGCCAATTGGTCCAGTGGTGAGAATCTTTGTCTTCTTGATATTGAGCGTCAGGTCCTCCTTAGTTTCCGCAAGCAAGGTTGTGTCATCTGTATAATGCAGATTTTTGATAGGTCTTCTACCAATCCTGATGCCGCATTTCTCCTCATAAGAGCCCAGCCTCCTGGATGATCTGTTCTGCATACAGGTGGAAAAGCTATGGAGACAGGACACATCCCTGGCATACGCCCTTCCCAATTTTGAACCATGCAGTGTTTCCCTGCTCTGTTCTGATGACTGTCTCTTGGTTCAAGTATAAGTTTTGCAATAGCACAATCAAGTGTTCTGGGATTCCCATTCTTCTCCGAGTCAGCCACAGTTTGTTATGGTTCACACAGTCAAACACCTTTGCATAATCAATGAAGCACAGAAAGACATTCCTCTGGTACTCCCTGCTTTCAGCCAAGATCCGTATGTTACATATATCCTTTCATCTCATCCTCATCACCAGCACCTGGAGCCACATTTTCACTAATTTTATTCTCCAAGGAGTGAAATGAAGCACAGAAAGGTTAAGTCATCTATTTAAGGGTACATCCTCGGTGTCATATGGGACCTGAACTCAGCCTGTTAACTCCCCTTTACTGCTGCCTCCCTTTACCTCTTTTCATGAGCAATGACTTTTTTTTTATAATGAGTAGTCTTTATATAATCAGAAAAAAAGGAGGAAAAGCAGTGAATTCCTGCAAGCTGCACCAGATGCATTTGGGGTACCTGTTCTGCCAACCACCCTAGCCACCAGGCCTTACTCAGGAGGAAGCCTAAGAGGTCCTGAGTTTGCCCTGATGCTCCAACCCAAAGCTGAATGGAGCAGCAAGGGCATGGCTTCTGGGGTACCCACCCAATGGATAGTGGGAAACCTACCCCCTCATTAGCCGACATCTTCCCTGTCATAAATTCTGGAACTAGGAAATCATGTGGATTTTTCTTCTCTTGCTGAAGCAGAGAGCCTACAAGGTTAGCAGCAGTGCACAGACAGCTCAGGATAGAGCAGGGTTCAGAGCTACTGTACTTGAGTTGAAGAGGAATAGACGATACATAACAATGGCCCAGTGGTGAGAATTTTTGTTTTTCCTGATGTCGAGAAGTAATTTATACTAAAGTCTTTAATCTTCCATCTTGTTCATAAGTATGCCATCATGTTCTCCAAGCAAGGGTCAGCTTCAGTTGTATCACCAAGCCCATGTTTTCCAACTACTAGTCATTTTATTATTATTTTTGTTTGTTTTCAACTTTTGCATTCTCATCACTAATTCTTATTAATGAGCCTTGATTCTTTGTTCAACCAATATCAGATTGCAGAAGTTGACAGAAATCCTCAAATTCTTCATCTCTGGCTTCAAAGGCTTGTGTGTATTTATGTGAATACTAGCTATATTAATAAGTCTTCCTTGTAATGTGTATGGGCATTATCCCATCTGTACACTATGGTACAATCTGAAAATACTGGTAACATAGCTTTCAGCATCACAGCAACATACAAGTCACCTTTGGGAATTTGCAACTGACAAATGATTGGTGGCAACAGCGGAATGGGAAAACATAACGTGATCAACACATACAATAGAATGCTACTCTGACATCAGATGAAATGAAGTTTGGATATATGTCAATACATGGAATAACCCTGAAAATAGTGAAATAAGTCAGTCACAAAAGGACCAACAGAAATATATTACTTCACTTACATGAGATATTAGTTAAGTTAGAAACTAAGCTTATGGCTCCGGCCCCGAGCGGCTGCCGTCACCGCCAGTTGGGGAAGATCTATAAGAAATTTGCATAAGACAGCTGTGCAAAATGGAGCCGGAGGAGCCTTATTTGTGCACAGAGATACTCCTGAGAATAACCCAGATACTCCATTTGATTTTACACCAGAAAACTGTAAGAGGATAGAGGCAATTGTAAAAAACTACCCAGAAGGACATAAAGCAGCAGCTGGGCTTCCCGTCTTGGACTTAGCACAAAGACAGAATGGATGGTTGCCTATCTCCGCTATGAACAAGGTTGCAGAAGTTTTGCAAGTACCTCCAATGAGAGTATATGAAGTAGCAACTTTTTATACAATGTATAATCGAAAGCCAGTTGGAAAGTACCACATTCAGGTCTGCACTACTACACCTTGTATGCTTCGAGATTCTGACAGCATACTGGAGGCCATTCAGAGAAAGCTCGGAATAAAGGTTGGAGAGACTACACCTGACAAGCTCTTCACTCTTACAGAAGTGGAATGTTTAGGTGCTTGTGTAAATGCTCCAATGGTTCAGATAAATGACAACTATTATGAGGATCTGACACCTAAGGATATTGAAGAAATTATTGATGACCTCAAGGCTGGCAACATGCCAAAACCTGGGCCAAGGAGTGGACGCTCCGCTTGTGAACCAGCTGGTGGACTTACCTCTTTGACTGAACCACCCAAAGGACCTGGCTTTGGCCTACAAGCAGGCCTTTAATTTACATTCAGCTGTACATATGTCATGTCACTAGACAAATAAAGTATGCCTTGCCTGTCTACATAAAAAAAAAAAAAAAGAAACTAAGCTTATTATATTATTAATGGGGGAAAGAAGAGGGAAAGAAATTTTTGCTTAGGGGGTATTGAGTTTTTGTTAATGGTGGTACGATTTAGAAAAAATAATGAGAGAAGTATATAAAAATCATTGAAATGATCTATGAAAGTGATTCAGATGCCACAGCCAGTGAAAACAAGGGTCCTGCAAAATCAGAAACTCATTTAAAAGAGCAACTCAGTATCAGTATCAGAGAGAGACTCTTTAGAAAACGAGAAAACTTTTTTAAAAAATTCCCTCTGACAGCTTCTTTCCTTAGGCTCTGCTATTAATTCACCTTGCTGGTCATTTTATCAGTCTTCTTCCCAACATTCCTTGAGTATAGAGTTTACAGCATCCTTAGCTCAATCACTATTATTAGGAGCAGTAAAAAGTAGGAAAGAGCGAGCCACGGGATGGGTGACTTTGAGATAGAAAGCAATTTGCAGCACACATTGGAAGTTCAGCAATATGGATCTCAGTATGTCATGAAAACTCATAGATTCTCAGTTTGATTTCTTACCTGCAAAATGTTAACAGTAATAGCTATCCCACAAATTGTCAGAAATTAATGAAGTAGTAACATTAAGCACATAGTAAACACTTAATTACTATCATTACTCATTTTTTTTAATAAACTCTAAGCAAATGGATAGGAAGGAGAATTGGCCATCCACTTCCAAAATAGCAGGCCTTTGAAAACTTTATGTACAATAGAGCACACGTAGACTAGCAGGTAAGGCAACTGAGGCTGAGACCTCATGTAATGGGGTAGGTGTGTCTGAGACAGTAGGATCGGCACAGGATAGAACAGGGTTTAGGGCTGTTGTAGATAGGGTCGCTATGCGTTGCAGGTGACTTGATGTACATAACTACAAGAAGAAACAGCAAACAGAAAGTTCAAGCCTGCCTTTAAATTGTAGATTATTTTTCAGTTTGAATTCTCTTTAAGACTTTAGATAATTTTGCAAAAATAGCTTATTTGAATAATACATTTTTTTCCAATGTAAGTACATCTACTAATTCACTAATCAACATATGAACACCAAAGACTTCTAAAATGTAAAAAAAAAAAAGTTAACTAAACTTGATGGTGTTTGCTGAGAGAGAATAGCTGATAGTAAAAAGGTTCCTGTAAAAAGGGAAGGAGACAGATAAGAAACTCCAGAAAGATGACATGAAACCAGAAGTATCCATCCCACCTTTCTTCTCTGCGTCCTCGAAAACGAGAGTCCTCAACATCCCGGCTGAATCTTTCATCTCCAGGTCTTCGGCCTTCCCATGCCCCCGGGGGAACTCGAGCAGCACCCCTGCCCTCTCCTTCACTGAATTCCCTGTGATCAGGAGGAAATGGAGGCCCAG